ATATAATACAAAGCTAATCTATTATACAGATAGTGCAAAATAAAGATCTAAACTAAAAGAGATCTAAAGGAAGATAACCTAATCAAAATTATTATAATTTATAAATATTTATAAGTTTTAAATATTTTATTATTAAAATATAAATGAAAATGTTACATACTATTACTTTTGCTAAGAATTATATATATATATAAAATATATATAATATTATTGTAATAATATAAAATTTCTTAATTTCTTAATCTTTTCTTAATTATGTAAAATCACATATTTTTATCATTTTTATTTATTTTATAAAAATTTCTTATTTTCATATCATATATTATTATATTTATTATCATATTTCTATTTTTAAATACTATATTTTATTTATATTTAAGATTTATATTTTTATTATTACTTGTAATATAATATTCATGTATATAGTAGAATAGTATAGTGAAAGATCATTTTTAATTTTGATAGAATAGTTGTACTTGGATGATAATTACAAATATTTTTCTATATTTTTTAATATCTTTTCATGTCTTTTAATATCTTTTCATATCTTTCAATATCTTTTCATATTTTTCAATATCTTTCAACAACTTTTAATATCTTTCTATATCTTTTAATATTCTTTCATATACTTTGATATCTTTAACATCTTTCAATGTATTTTAATGTAATATATTTTTAATTATTTATACTATAAATTATATTATATATTTAGATAGTATTAGCTAGTAATACTATAATAATTTTTATATCTAAAAAATATATAAAAGATCTGTTTTTCTAGTATGAAATAAATAGTTTTAGATTAAATTATTTGAAAAATATAATTTTAAAGGATTACTTTTTCTAATTATACTAATACCCTTTCTTTTATTAGTTTTATTTCTTTGATCATATAAAGTTGATTGTGATTTTGATTTTGATTTTGAATTATAATATTATATTGATTTTTGATTTATTTGATATTATTTTGAGAGTAGAAGATCTCTACTATAAATAAGCTATACTTTTAATTTTATTATTTTTGAGAATAGAAGATCTTTATTATAAATAAGCCATAACTTTTTATTTTTATTTAGTTATTTAATTTTTATATTTTAGTTTTTATCTTTTAATAGTCATAGTCTTCTCTTATTAATAATAGTTTTACTATTTAATAATTATAAATCTTGAATTATTTTGATTACTAGTGGCTTCACTCAGTTAATCTTTATAATTTCTTTGATCTATTTTATTCTTTCATTATTTATTTTGCTTTTTATTAAGATAATATTCATAGATATTGATACAGGTCTTAGAAATCTTTGTCATTATTAAAAGCATAATCTAATTTTTCTCTCTTTATCTTTAATTATTTCAGTCTCTCTCAACTCTATATCATTAAGATGAATTCAAGTAAAAACTCACTTATTAATTTATCATAATATATTTTTGATACTCTCTCTATGAAGAAAAATTCTCTCTATATCTCTTATTATATTTCTATACTTTTTTTTATCTCTTTTATATTCCTTTTTATATTTCTTTTTTTTATTATTTATAATTGATAAATATTTGTGTTCTGAGTTTTCATGACTAATTATTATTCTTTTATTGAACTACCTATTAACTATTATCTTGAGACACATCAAATTTCTAATTATCCTATTAGAATACCCTCTCAAGACTTTTGCTCTATTGTCATCCTCTTCAATCTCAAATTATTATATAATTTTATATCTTTCACCTACTCACAAAAAATATTGGAGCAATATCAATTAATCAAATCACATATCTGTTATTTCAAGAATTAATTCAACTTGATCTTACTAAAATATATATTAGCTGATTGAGACAAAGAATAGTACAACTAGTAAATATCTTTACATTTGATCACATCAATACTCAAGAAGAACAACTTGATTTAATTGAATAATTCTACCAATGATTCATTCATTAAGACTTTATCTTTCAATCAAGAATCTCTTCTAATCATAATGATATTGATGGATACTATTCTGAAACTAAGAATTCAGAAGAGACTTCTACTTTTCCTGTTTAATCTAGATTAATCCCAGAATCAGAAGAAAATAGTGATTCTTCAGATTTAGAAGAAGATACTCAGATTGATTCAGAAAATAATAATCAATTAGAAGAAGAAGATGATAATCAAATGGCTCAATCAAATAACTTAGATAACTTGATCCAGTATCCAGGTGGGCACTATTCAATAAATTCGATGATTTCTGGAATAGTACTCGTGTGTTATATTACTAATAATTATAGAAGATTTGTAAAAACACTTTTTTATATAAAAGGGAGCATAAGCCAATTATAAATCTGTGAAAGTATAATATAACTTTATTAATGACCGAAAAATTACATAACATAGATGAATTCACTGTATAATAATAGAAACTTTTGTATTTGTCAAGGTCTTACTAAAATTTATTATAAATAAATATTAAAAACTGTAATTTGGAAATGGATCAGATAAGAAAGAGAGCAAATAGCAAAGTTTATTTCCGTATAAAACATTTTTAGAAGTTGATAACAAGGTCGAAAATACTGGCATCCAAAAATTTTTAACATCATAGATCAGCAATCGACACACGTTGTCGTGAAGCCGTTTATACAGTAAATATACGGAAAATAAAAGTTCGTTAAACTTAATTATCCTAATGTACTAATTGGTAAGATGAGAAGGAATGCATGTTTGACCGATTTTTATAGGAGGTTAAAATGGGTGCGCCCAAAATTCCGAAAGCCAAAAATCCCAATACCTAAAATTCCGAAATACCAAAATCTTTAACGCCGAATATCTAACATCCTGCACGTCCAAAATCCAAAATACCTAACATCCTGAATGCCCCAAAATCCCGACTTCCTAATTTAAATGTCCAAAATTCTGACTCCCTAACATCCCGAGATTCCTAAAATTCCGATATATCTAACATTCCTAAAAAGTAAGTGCAAATTATGCATGTACGAAAGAGTAAGGCTAATGTAAGGCTAGTACAAATTTTCACCATTTACAATCGTTACGATAGTGGTAATCGTTATTTATTGCACGCACCTATATACATTTCATATCAATATTTTATTGTATAATTTTAAATGTATTTACGGGATTTTGTGAGTGTCGGGATGTTGTGAATGTCGGGATTTTGATGTTGGGCGTTCGGAATGTTGGTATTGGTTATAGTTTGGCGGTATGTAGGTTTGAAGAAATAATTATAACATCGAAGACCGTGCGTTAAATTGGAGAATTGAAATAAAAGTAGTGAAGGTATTTCACGAGAGGTGAAGAATTAGCAGCATATTTTGATAAATTTCATGTATTTTATGATTTAAAAATAAACTGATGCCCTTATAGATCTTGAGAGGATTGTTGTAATGACGTAATGAGCAGTTTATAAATACAACGTGTTGTAAAATACTCAAAATGCTAATGTCGGCCATTCGCTGTGTATTCAATGGACCACGCAAACGTGATGCAGAAGAAAAAATTTTAAATTGGAAACGTGACACCTTTTGATGGCTGATGATGCTGCATCAACTGACACTGGTCTATAAAAAATCAGACAGTTACTGCCTTCGGATAATTTGAATCATGTTATCACTTACGATGATTTCAAAATATATTGAGGCTGTATATTATGAAAGTAAGCCACTTCTTAATTTTCGCAATGCCATTTATGTTCCGCGAAGATGAAATAGCCGATGGAAGCCCGATACACAATTCGTGGTGGAATTACCAAGCATCTCATGTGACGAGAAGACTTTACCGACCCAGAAAAATTATACATACCAGAAAGATTTATCAATGTTAGCAGTGATGGAAACAAAAAAGCGTTTTTATCCATGGGGTGTGTGGCCTACACATTTGTCCCTGAGAAATATCAGACTCGCTTTTGTAAAAATGTTGCTGACTTCTTGCATCGTAATTATATTAGTTAACGTTAATACAAACTCACCATGATTTTATTTCCCATTGTGCTGATACAAAGGTCTATTTGAAGCCCAAGATCGAATAGTTTTAAGATTGATGTTTTCGTTGTTTATATAAGTAGCTACATCATTTTATTTTTTTGTTTCATTATCATGGCGTTGGGCTTTAGAAAGCCATTAATTTAAGTTTGGCCCGTTTATATTGTTGGAAGAATGCGTTAATGCCCACATTAAATAAATGTCATTAATATGGGTCTTTTTTGCCTCGCGCAAAGAAATACTTGGTTAAAATATTGATTTGATTTATACGCATGGCCATGGGCCATTTTATAAATAATTCAATAACGACAAAAGAATTTGCACATTGAACGTTCCAAAAGTAAGTTATTTGCACAATTAACGATATCTTTTTAATTCGATAATAATAAAGTTTCGGAATCTTCGTTTATTTAACAGCGAATTTAATAACGGTTACCTTCGCTTCGTTATATTAAGTTTCATTATTTTTGCAATTTCCCAACAGCAAATAAATTTCTCTTAATTGTTTTCAACATTATTTTTATAAAGTTAAACTCAATGGCAGAAGTGGTTGGTGCTGCTGTTGCAGAATACAGGTTTAAATTTGTTCAATTGAGCAGGTTACCATATCTATTCCTGATTTATTGAGCTTGCCTGCAAACAAGCTCTTTTTTTTCTCTGGATCTGTCAGAATCTCCCTCCATCTAATTAAATTTCCAAATACATGCTTAAAATATCTAAGTGTCAATATTGTACATTTACGAACCAATCTATTTTAATGAATTCTAATATACCTTTACGTTAAACTCAACACAGGTTTTAAATTCAAAATTTCTTGGTTCTTTTATTTCCTTAGATGTAAACTAAATCAATTTTTCACCATATTCTGTTTAGCGCCTGCCCCGTCATTAGACGATATAGCACGTTGATTAATCTCATCTGCCCACCTAACAAATTCCTGACACGCATCCTCACAATCAATTACCGTAACCTTTCGCAACTTTGGAAATGATGTGACGAGAACTTGTTGCACAGCAGTATGACTAAACCCTCGACAACGACGAAATACAACTTCAACAAGTTTGTTGGAGAATAGTAGTTCTTTGGGTAAATGGATATTGGCGACCAGGAGAAGATTGGCGATTTCGAGGAAGAAATCCCATTCATAGTTGTAGTGGTAAGCGGTTAGATAGACTTCGCATTCTTTGGAGAGGCGATGCAGTGTGAGCTTTTGGAGACGTCGAAATCGGCCCATATGTTTTGGAAAGAGGGTTCGATTGCTGTGCACATCTGGATCGTACATTATCAGGTGTAGTACTTCCTGTTTATGGGGATACGAATAAGATTTGAGATAAGTTTTTATGAATTCTAATCGGAGAATTAATTTCAAAAGATAACTCACCACGCCAACTGATAACTCTGGCAGCGCATCAAACAATATCGCTGTCTGTGAACTAGTATCACACACCAAACAACACGTTCGAACCGAAGCCAGCCATTCCTGGAACCCATCGTCGCTTTTCAACAAAAACTGAGGCACATCTCTTGGGTAAGCAGACACATGACAAGTCAACGCCACGATACATGCGCCCGACCGTCGCATAACCTCAAACAAGGCCCAATAAATTTTCTCCATATACGCGACTGATAAATACCGTTTACTACACCATTTCTCCACCGTCTTGTACATTCCATCGAAATTAATATGCTTTGCGAAATGCGGATACTCGAACTTCGGCGGTGGGCACCTTCGATATCGACGTAGAACCGTCTGTGGCAAAAGCTTTGCGAGTGTTGCCAGCGGCAGAAAGAGGAGGTACACCTCGATTAATGACTCGTAACGCTTGTTTTTGAGCGTGGCGGATGATCCAAATGGTTCCGACCAGAGAAGCGCTATCGCTGATGCGCACCATTGTCGGTTCACCAGAATGCAAGAATGAAGATCGGACGTGTAAAAGTTGCCGTCAGCGTTGTATGTTAGCTGAAGAAATATTTCTTGTAGAATTTCTGGGGGCGCTGTTGATGCCATTTTCGTTGTTTATCTCATTTATAATTTATTTATTTATTTATTAATGCCTGAATTTGAAATAGATTTGAAAAATAAAAAAAATTGTTTTTTATTACGATATAGTGGTGTCGTCGTCTGATGTAAAGAGAAAAATATTTGTAGGCTTTTGAAAAGACGTTAGAACATAAAATCACTTATTATTAATCAAAATAGTGCACACACACACACACACACGGAACTTTTTGAACAATGAATGTCGGTTTATGCAATCATGCTTTTCTGTTGACCCGAATCATGTACTTTGGTGTTACAAATCCCTAAAAACAAGACATTGCATATATATTTGTATATCGAACGAACAGACTTTTTAAATTCGTTTTAATGACTTAAGCTATTTAGGAAACACGTGAATAAAGAAGCTAAATAGTGGTTTGCATATTTTGATAAAAGACGCAGACTTTGATTTCTCAGCAAAAAATTTGTTATCTGTGACTAATCATACTTCTAAAATCTAGCAAAATTTCCAAATTACAATTCTAAAAATCTTCAATCTCGTACTGATCCTTATACATAGCCAGTTACATTTAGATTAATCCAAGCAAATAAATTGACTCAGTCCAAAGTTGTCCAATCAAGTTTAGTTTTGGAAATACTTGGATCTTTTGCGTCACTTCGACAACACTATCATAGCACCGTAATGATTGGTTAATTTTTAAAAATTGTACAATTTTTAAAAACAATTACACGAAAAATTTATCTCTTGAGTAGGACATCATACTCTTAAAAAAATCAACAGATGATGCATTTTGGCATGTTAAAAAATCATAAGAACTATTGCTATAGAGGTTCATAGAAATACCATGTATTTTTTTCGCAATTAATTTTCCGGGCGGACTGTCTTTATTCTTTAGAGGTATGGTCTTGCTGATTGGTAATGCGTTTTATGAAAAATATTAATTTTTTGGTATAATAATGGAAAGATGGAAAGCAAACCGCATGAGAGCAATTAACAGCAGCATGGGAACCTAAATTTCATTGCGCGTGCATCAATTCAAAATATTCTAAGAATGAGCCACTGCATAATTATATCTTATCATGTTATTTATCTTTATTTCATATTTTATCATTATTTAAGCTTCTTGTGGTTTTGCGTATGAATATTATTTTACAAGTACATATTGTATCTTGATATAACGAATAGTCCAGGTCTATTAGTAAAATTTGTCAAAAATTCATTAAATCACGATTTTATTAATTCCTTTGAGATCAATCATCGTTTAGCGTGGACTACAAGGGTATCTAATCCTTTTTGTTCCCCACGCTTTCGTGCCTCAATGTCAGGAGATGGATAGTTAACTGCCTTCGCCGTATTGGTGTTCTTCCCCGAAACTTTTTGGTTAATACCTAATAAATGCTGACGCTTATTAGATAAGGGGAAAGTCATAGCCTTCCTCCTAACTCTTTTACTTAGTAATCTTTACTTCTTTTCTTCTTTATCACTTCTTTCCTTTTTTTGAGAACTTTCTCACCATCAACCAATCCCAAAGCCAACTGCCATGATGGCTAAGCCAAGACAGTAAGTCGAACAATGTCATGTTTCTGATATCGTTCTATATAGCAGAATAATGCCCGTCTTGCCAGCATAATGCAAATAGCATATAAAAGTCACAGCATTAAAATGGTGTACACGTATTTGTTTTTAGAGCTAAGAAATTTAGCGGTTTTTCGATAGAAAAATATTTAATGAGTCTTAATATACATGAAGCATCAAAGTGCATTAAGGAGAATGAATTATCATAGAAGTCTAACCGAATTTTCTGTAAGCAAGGTGTAATGTATTTCCCCACACTTTATTTAATGAATCGTATAAGGGAATCAAGTTTCGTCAATTTTACGTGCTAATAACATAACGTCTTTATCCTTATTTATATCCATTCTAATGGATAATTCATTAATTATTGGATGATAAAAATAAAATTTGAGCTAACTGTCTATTTTTCATTCAAAATTGAATTCCTGAGAAAATTTTTTGCGGTTGAAAAAAATGTACAGGCAACCAACTTGCCACATATCATCGCACACAACTTTAGAATTAATAGCAACCTCGCTAAAAATTTCTTTTGAAAAATCTGCATGATGTCATTTACTCGACTTGTGATGTAACAGAATTTCGGAAATAAATTCGGAAAATTTTCCGAATCGTTCAATGCAACCTTTTTACGTAATCCCATCCCACCATCCGCAAACCTTTTTTTCCTTACACAAATGTTCAAAAAAACTTTATTTGTTTTTCCAATCGCTCAATAAACGAGGTTTGCATTGTACCATTGCAACAATGCTATGACCGAAAACGATTATAGTTCTATGTCAAATTACATAACCAAAAAAATACACAATATCAACAACGATTTTGGAGCATTTATTGTCTAAATAAAATTCATGGGAAATGACGGCATTCATTCATTATCGTTATCCGTTATATACTTTTTTCATTGTTATGGAGATTCATTTCGTCGATCCAGACGATAATCTAAATTCTGGGAAATGACATAATGAGAAAAGTCAGGGGCAAAAAAAAATAATCATATAATTTCCTGTTCTTCCATTGAAATTTTAGATAACTCCTGAGCTTGCGCTCCGAGGAGAATCCTTCGAATTTTTCCCCTAGATTCTATGGAAATGTCAAAATAAAGTCAACAAAAAGATTCATTTTGAAGAGATTTATTAACTTTTTAATATCCAAATAAAATAAATAAAATGCACGTTATATAATAAATGTGATTATATATGATCGTGCCATATGGTGATTTTCGCTGCACTCAAAGATCTCTTGTTGCGCAAGGAAAAATAAATATATCGTTATTTATTTATTATTATTGTTTATTATTATTTATTATTTATTATTTATCATTTATCATTTATTATTTATTATTATTATTTTTATTATTATTTTTATTATTTTATTATTATTTATTGTCAATTACTTAATTTTATTTGTTCACACACATAAAAGAACCAATCAATCAATCAATTGACGTGAACATGCTAAGCGCCAACCATCTAAAGATACATTCTAATAAACTTTATTTTTAACAACTGTATGCCAATGCAGGACACTGGTAACACAAATTCCATATGTAAGGGTATTCCATTGAGTATATAACCTATTAATTCCTCTTGCACCACATCGAAGATAGGGGACTCCGTATATGAGGAAGAGTATCTCTCGCGTGCGCACAACATAAAAAACCTGTCATTTAGTGGTGTGTACAATGGGGCAATCGTTCTTTGTCTATTTTTTTCTTGTTTCGTCCGTCAACTTTTTTCAATTGCTTTTTTTTTGAGGCGGTGAGAAGGGGATCAATTAAATTTTATTTCTTAATAGAATTTCCCGGCTCTCTCTTCACTTTTTGCACAGCAACAGAAGAGGCAAGGCAACGCAAGCGCAAATTTTTGCCCACCTTTTTGCCAAATTTTTTTCATGTGGGAGGTTACAGGTTGATGCGTTCGCTTGCGTCTTATTATCAGACAATGGGTGTGCGCGATAGAGGTTTATGTTATCTCTATCCCATATTGTCGATAATTTATAATACGGTCGATGCTGTTTTTGTTTGACTTATTTAAAACAGGGGGCAGAAAAATAAATTCACGATCACATCGATTACATTCACGCCAAAAAAAGAAAAAAACAGGAATGAAATGTAAGGCAAAACATGTACCCCGTGCTTTGTATCGCTTCAACTGTATGCATTCCCTCCTCTTCTAAAAAATCATAAAATCTTCAGTCCCACCTCATTCGGACTGTTTTTGTTGGTGTGTGTATATGTGTAATTATCGCAAATAATATATTCATATTGTTTACGTATACGGTCTTGTTAATGAATGATGCATGTTCGGCTTTAAAAGATCTCTTTATTATTTTTTAACTAGGATTCCATCCAAGCAGTTGTAATTGTAGTCTTTGCATCTTATTTATATTTTTTTTTAGAGTCCAAATAGAGAATAGCAAAAACCATCCCCCCAATACACATACACTCTCCTTCCCGATTAAAAAATCACCTCCTAAAAATTCTCTTTGTTTTAACAAATAAACTTTTTTTCCTATTATCCACAAAACAACAAAAACCGTCTCGTCAGCAGTAACGACCCAAAACGAATTCCCTTTTTTCCCGCCTATTTTCTTTAGACATCTCAGAGAGAGTTTTATTATTATTGCTTATTAATAGAGAATGTCATCAAATCGTCTTACGAAAAATTTACAAGAAAAACTTAACAAAACCAAGAATAACCGCAACAACAACAACAACAACAACAACAACAATAACAATAACAACAACAACAACAACAACAACAACAATAATAATAATAACAATAACAACAACAGCAATAAACGTAGAAAAACGTCGTTAACACCAGAAACAAAAAACACGGTCATTTCACTAGACTTTTTGGTTCAGACGACAACAACAAAATCTTCCACGAAAATGGCACCGACGAGATTCAATCCTTACCATTATAATACGACAACCACAACCACCACCACCACACGCTGTAAACTCTTACATCCCACAATCTCAAAACGCTTACATACATTAGTTACATCACCATCACAGAATTTATCATCATTAAAACATCATCACTTATACTATAATCCTGAGCCTGCCGATTGTCGACTAATAATAACGGATATAAATGCAAAAGAGCGCAAAGATAATAACGATGGACTTTCACATGATTATGAATTTCGACAAGTGTTTTACGCGCATAAGAGTAATTTAATAAAGAAAAGCCCATGTTTTAGACGTTTCTTTGAGAAACTTGAAGAGGCTCAATCAACGACGACGACGACAACAAAATCAAATTGTGAGAATATTGAGAAGCATCAATGGCAAGAAATTCATCTGAGAATAGTGCAACCGGAACTTGCGAGATTCGATGAAATGCTACATTGGGTAAGTTTTTATTCAATCCCCCCACCTCTTAGATGATAAGTTTTTTGTATAATGTCAGATTGATAATTTGCTTCCCCCCACTTTCCCCCACCCAAAAAAAAAGATTGAAACAGGCGACAGCAAGCGATGGATAGTTAAAGGCATAACAGTCGAAAATTTTCACATAGTGGTGCAAAACATCAACCTGCTAGAATTAGGTTGGGAAGCAAAAAGCATCTGCGTGGGATTTCGTAACGCTTACCACGATTGGTTGGAGATCCGTCGCCGTGGTGAAATGGCAGAACATAAATCACGAAAAATAGAGGAAATAAAAAAACGTCCTATGCGACTTTTGTGACGTTGGGTTCCTTAATTATTTATTTACCTATTTATTAATGTCATTCATTCATTCCTCCTATGACAACATTCTATTTTATCTCAAACATTTTAGCGCTACTTGTAAATTTACATATCGATATCTGATGGTGTGTCGATTTTCTTTTTTCTTAGCTATCTATCTCACTCATCATCATCACCATTATTATTATATCATATCAAATATATATATATGTCTCCTCATAACTTATTATTGCATTTGTGTTTTTTGAATAAATAGTGTATAGTTTCTGTCAGCAAAGTATACCTTGTATTCCACAGTTTTATCGTAAAATAGAATTTTACCAATAAATACAAAGAATTGTCGTCATATCGTCATTCATTTTTCCTTTTTTATGCTAATGAAACAGTAGGCCGCCGTGCATGTGCATTTTTTTTTTACCACATGTATGTTATGTGCATGAATGCCAATAATCAAATTTTTGAGGTCCATAACAATAAATAAACTTTGGGAGTAGTTTGCTTTGCATAGCGATAGCATGCCAAGAATAATTTGTAACATAGTTTGAGTTTCATTATTTGTGTTAATTCTCGGAAGAAAGAAATACCAAATTAAAATGATTTTATGCTATATGCTTAATTCTGTATCATTGCAACATTCTCAATGTAAAAAAGTTTTGAGATTGGAATCATAAAGGTATTATAAAGGTATTAAAAAGGCTATCAATTTTACGTTAACAAATTTTAAAACAAAAACAACAGAAAGAAGTAGGTGTTTGATGATTTCCGAAGCCAATTTAAGAGTTCTTAATTCTCTATATAATCAAAACGTTTCTACTCTTTCTCATCTATATAATATACCAATGCTCCAATTAAGTTTATTATTTCCAAACCTTAATAAAATCTGAAATAATGTCACGAAATTTGTCCTCCGGCCAGGTCGAGGCAAAATTGGCCAACATGTTAACGTTCGCACTAACTACTGTGAATTACCTGCGAAAACATCATTCCTTACGATGTTATTAACATTACGCCGGATATGCCGCCAGCGTTGAACCGAAAAATTTTGAGAAAGATAATTGCATGGCTGGGCTTGATGGTTGTCGACCCGTTTATGATGGTACTTGCTTTACGTGTCTTTCTTGTTTTGCTTGTGAAATTTTTTTAAATACATTTCGGAATTTTCATTTAGGCCGCAAAAATATTTTCGCTCTAAAAATTCTTCCATTCGGCGAAACAGCGACTTTCGATGTAAATGGCTGGCTATTTTCTCTAGTTCAATTCGGTTTTAAGCATTTCATTTATCATGACACTAAACTATTACGTTTGCTCAAATAAATAATTGGTCACTTTGCCAAATTACGACGAAATCGAGACATTCGTTCGTTCAAAGTCAAAATCAAGAAAGTCGACGAGATCATAATGACCGAACTGCATAATTTTCTTCGTGCAAATGGTCTATGAATCCGGCGTTCGTACCGGTATGATATTGTTTTGTCTTCTACACAATATGTTCAATATAATCCATTTGTATTAATTTTCCAACAATAATAACCATTATGGCAATTGACGTTTTGTTTAGGCATCTTCCGTCAATGCAATACGTAACGTAACTGTCGGACGCTCTTTTTCATTTCGAATGATTCAATATCGCTTTTTGGTGGTGCTGAAGTTTGGCAAGGATTCTAACAATCGGTTCGTCCTACTCCCGACAAATTGTTTGTTTATTCACTCTAAAAATTTGGTTTAATTATCTTTGATCTAAATTCAGGAAAAATGATGCTAAACATTGACCTCAGCGCTACCGCATACTACGAAGCTGGACCACTCATCCAGATGGCAATAAAACTACTCGGTAAAGAAACCAGGACGATCGTCGTCGCGGCCTCGAACGAAAAAGAATTGATCAAAGTTGAGAAAGCAATCAAAAACTTGAAATCCGTATTATTCATCGTGGGGGACATAACGCACGACGTCAGTCCAAGATTGTTAAGCTGACAAGTTCTCTGGGAAATATGACTACATTCGAGACTGAACACGGCCCAATAAATGTGGCATCGTATTTTCAACGGACGTATAATAACCCGTTGCTGTTAAACGTGATGTTTATTTGCTGATTAAAGTTTGTGAGTGATTGAGGTGGGTTTTTTCTTAATTTGAATTATGCAGTTTGTTTAATTATACTCATTTTTTATAAACAATTATATTAGGAACATAAGACATATTCGTAAACACTTAACGAAAAACAAACCGCTAACATGATCAAATTTACTTGCCAATCCGAGTGAACAAAATCAAAAAAGTTTGAATTATCGTGAAAATAAATATTTGGTACCGATTTATCTAAAAATTTCGAATGAGATGACAAATGTAATGTGAACGGTATCATCTTGATTTTTAAGCTTTCAGATGATTAATTAAATGCGTATTTTAAAAGATTCCGGCACGAATTCCGTATCACCCGTGAACAAAAATGTGTTCACGTGACGGTGTCTGGAATTTGCGGGTGCTACTCTTGGATCATGGTCATTTGTGGCTTTTGATGCTGAACGCGAGTTCCCAATTCAATTCATTCAAGCGTTCATCCGGGAACTAGCAATCACCTGTCGAGAAGCGGACTTGGTAAGTATAATTTTCCTTTATTTATGTAAACGATTACCTAATCACATTAAACCAAAAAAGCAAATTCCTAATCGTTCTCCACCAATAATGCGTGCAACTCCACAAGGCGACATTGAAAGTGTTCTGAAACAAGCGTGGCTTCGTGCAGGAAATGCTTGCTCAACCGCAATTAATTGTTTGCATATTACCCACCACTAGCGAATCACTTTACGTGAAGATCAAACGGGTCTGTGATACAGAAATCGGGGTTGCAAGTCAGTGCGTCCAATTGCGTCATGTGTTGCAAGCTAAAAAACAATATTGCGCCAATTTATGTCTGAAGGTCAAACTTGGCATGAATTGTTAACTTGCGCAAGAAAACATTCCGTTTGTTTCCGAACGTCCAACTATTGTTATGTGACGCATTCGTCCCCGGGTGAATGCTTGATCACATCGCTTGGTGCTACGATGGATTCCAAGATTTCTCACTATGCTGCGTCTGTAAGAATACAGGCCGGCGGATCTTGCTAATGTGGTGAAAGAATTGCTTAGGAATTTTTATCAAGTTTGTGGTAGGAAACCTGAACGAATTCTCTTGATCGCGATGGTGTTTCAGGGCAGTTTACTCACGTCCTTGAAAATGAAAATAAAAGCGGTGCGAAATATGCATCTCTTTAACCACAATATCGTATTTTAAAACTACTTGTCGATCTTTGGATGCATCCTATTGTCCAACAATTACATTTGTCGTCGTTCAAAAACGGCATCATACTCGTTTCTTCCACGTTGATCGTAATTCATCGGATCGCTCAGGGAATTGTTTCTCGGGAACAGCGGTTGAACAAACAATCATACATCCGTTTGAGTTTGATTTTTGTGAATTTTTTCTTTGCTTTAATTCAGTGCCTTTTTATCTATTTATAAAATTTGTGCGATTTTTTGTGCAAATCTTCAAAGCCATGCTGGGATACAAGGTACTTCACGCCCACGCATTATTACGTATTGCATGATGAGGATCAGTTTGAGCCTAAAAGGTTGGTGTTTAATGTGAATATTGTTGTTTGTTTTAAATGGTCTGATAATTCTTTTATATTTTAGTCTTCAAATTCAGACGTATTATCTTTGTTATGGGCGGTTTCTTTGATATGCGATTTCTCGTTTAATTTCAAAAACTAAGATTCAAGCTAACTTTTATTGGAATTATAGGGTGCCACCTGTACTGTATTCACATTTATTGTGTCGGCGGCATTTGGAAATTAAATAAACTGGTATTTATTGCAAACATACACAAAATTTGACTATTAAGCTATTTACTAGATCGCGTTAACACATTCGCTTGAATAACTGGTCCGAAGGAAGTTCCACCAAAGAAAATGAGTTCCGAGTTCTTTTGGAAACGTGAAACCAAATTTGGCAAAGGTTTTTTTTGCGTAATACAAATAGTCACTTCTATTTGTATTATTTTATAAAGCAGCTTTTTATTTTTGATTTATTTCATAAAAAAACTAAAATAAAAATGATGCTTACAAAAAACATCTCGTTTATGTTAATTTTACTTTCCATTTAGCATGTTCACAAGGAATGGTTGTCTTGAGAATTAAAAGGATGGTTAAAATACTGAATTTACAGCCCAATGACTGGAGCATTTTTTGAAATATATAACAGTCATAGAAAAAAGAATATTTTATTGAACAGAAGACAAATTCTATTGCAAAGTCGTGTTTACATTGTGTTGCTGTTGAGATATACAATTTTTGTTCCCGCCTTTTCTTATGCACTTGTATATACAGTACGTTAATTTAGAAGGATGGAATTTTATATCGTGTGATATAATCTAATGATTTGATTAGAATAAATTGTTTTTGGATCATTTCGATCAATATTCAAAGATGATCTATTGCCAGGCTAATTCGCATATTATAAATATTTTTGTATAGCCCTTCATTCAAATAACAAAATTTATAAAGAACAAAAAAAATCGAAGAAATGCCTACAAAGAACAATTATGCATCTACCAGCGCACCTGATTCTATGCCATTTCCTATCGATTTTGATGCTACCACGATTCAACAAAACATTAAAAACTATTTAATACCTTACTTTCACACAATCTGCAAGTTTTTGGTCTACCATTATCGACTCCATACACCCGACTGGTTGCAAACTCGAGGCGATGTAATTCACGAGTTCATAAGAAGCCATCAGTTGTTGAGCGACTATTTGTTGTCGTTCGCGTTTTGGTATAGTTTGCCGCTTTTGTGGTTTTTGGTTTGGTCTGTTGGCGGATTTTTGATTACCGCGATTATTGGTTAGTAAGGTGAATTATTTTTTTGCGCCATTAAACTCGTTTTCTAATTAATTAATTGTATCTTTTTTAAAAGGAGTCACAATGTTTGTAATAACAAACGGATTTATCATAGGTTCGGCGTCTATAGTTGTAACTCCGTTTTTTATATTTGCTATAATGGCTAGTTTTATGACAACCTTTGCTATTTCGGTGGGCAGAGCTGCAATGAGTGCTACAAATTTTTTTGTGAGACGAAGTAATAATAATGGATGGCTTGGTGGTAAAAGTTGATATTATTTTAATAATATAAATAAAATACATACATACATACATATATGTATATGTATATGTATAAATGTACTTTATCTCTCATGTTTTTTTTTATTTTTTTCTTTATATGCCATTTAAAGTTAAGTTTTCACCCTCAATTAATAATAATAAACTTTTTGTCCACGTTAGCTATGCGATTTGACATGTACAGTTAGACCACCACTCTAATAGTCAATAACCCCCAAAGTTAGTTATCCATTACACAGCGAAGCTGGATATAGCGGATCAAAAAAGTTCGTTATACCGAGCTTTTATTAAGAAACCCGTTACATCAGGTAGGGATTGATTATATATTGCTCTGGACCTTGACCCGTTGACTAGCGTCCCCGTTTTGTCGTATACCAAATAACTATAAATAAATTGAGAAGGGCTATCTATAGAGGGTATTTGTGTATGTGAATAAGTAAACGTTATCTCTGTACTCAATTCAATGATCTAACTGGATCAAGCTAACTTATTTGCCCTAAAAATTTGAAGTTTTATTTGAATCTGTATAAATCTTTTAAGATGAAACAAAATAAAAACAATTAATCTCAAAAAAATCCTGTTTAAAGGTTTCTCGTGGCTCTTATTTTAAGGATGTAATTTTTTTGAGCTAGCCAATATATGGAACAAGATTTTTTGAGCTAGCCAATATATGGAGCAAGATCAATAGCGATAATAATATTTTTTTAATTTACGCATGACCAAAACGAGCACTTAAATATATAAATGTCCATCATTTGAGACACGTATCCTTGAAGACTGGTTACGAAACTTGATTGATCAGAAAAAAACTTTATTCGAATATTTATTTTGTGAACAATGTGTTGATTGTATCCTCGCAATCAGAAAACGGAACCTTGAATAAAGCTTGAATTTCCATTTTTACTGTTTCTTTAATTAAAGTTTTCATTTTAGCCGATTTCCTTTAATTTCCTTATTAAATTAAAGTTTCATTTTAGCTGAATTTCCAATACCGGTTTTTAGTGGGAATTCATTAAAAGTGATTGTTCCAAACAAATGACATAAAAATCTTTTAATTTTGGCTGTTTGTTGAATTGGGAATATGACACATGTGAATTGTATGCACCACACCGGGCTAGCACAATTCTATTTACGTATAGCCTATAAACAAGTTGTGGAATTTGAAATTCTTCGCGTGTGTACGTTCCTCTATGGGTAAGATATCAATCAAAAATTAGAATCCATCTGCGTGATCCAAATAAAAAGTTCAAACGTAGGCATGCGTTAAATTCATACCACCGTAGATATTCTCTCGACAACAAATAATTTCGACCACAACAAATACAAAAATGAATCCAAGGGTCAGGATTTTTTACAGCACCTTCGGTGTTTCCGACGGTAGCACGGAAAACGTGTGATTATCTCTGTGTGCTGGAATTCCGGTTTTTTCTGACTTTTTTCGTATGTATGCATGCGTTAGATGTGGTGTCGTTAGCAAATAATAATAGAAATTCTTGAACCAATGCACTAAAATGAAATTCTCACATAGTTCCAGAGTATGTGTATTAGCAAGCAATTAAAAATTATCATTTCATAATGTGTGTTTAGGGAGTAAGCGGTAGTATATTTTAATTCCACGCCTGGTTGCGAAACATTATAAGTAAATTTTTTGCGAAACAAAGAAGTTCACAATGATTGGCACAGCGTACATAACACCATATGAGACGACCAGACCGATGTTTCGTGTTGCGTTATGACGATTTTACGATCTTGCTTTTTTCAAATGGTTCTAATCATTCAAAAAGTTTAAATACGACGCCTTTCAACGGGTCTGTTGAATTTTCTTTAGCACTTGATGCTCACCTTTCTCTATACACATAAGAAAGAATCTTATTTCGAGTCATTTCGCAAAAAGAATATGCTAAAAAAAAACAACGAAAATATGAATCTCAGTCGGATCGATTTGCTGGCCGGCAAACCGTGACATTAAAGTAAGTAGCAAAAGATCAAGATCAAATGGATTATTATTGTTGTTGGAGTTTTTTGATTGATAAACCATGAATTTCTTTTTTTTTCTTCGAATATTAGTATGAATTAAGTAAAAAATCGAATTTAATCGTCTTGATGACGACAACACACCAACATGCCAACCCATTCGAAGGATACAAAGTTTACGTTAAATCGAACCAAAAAACCTCTACCAGAACATGGTAACGCAGAACCCTTATTTCAACAATGTTGAACGTGATAAGACGAACCCGCATTTTTTTTTTTAGAAACTTATAAATTTTTCAGCATTCAACTTTGTATATAATAATTTTTTCTAATAATTTAAAATTGTACATATTGTATTGTATTTTTTTAATCTTCTTCAAATTACTATCATTTACACTAGTATTCATTAATTTTCGGCTAACAACTCGAGCGTATGATTTTAAAACTTAATACCATTATTATGCAGGAGAATTTTATGATTTTTTTTCTAACAGGTCTATTACTAAATAAATATGAATTTTTGAATGTTCGCTAAATTTGATATTCTTTGGTAAATTGCGCGTGATTTGTTTTTATACATGTACTTTTGCGACAAGGGTTATCGTTATATGAAATCTAAACAATTAATACAAGACAAATTCACTGTTTGTACGTATTAGGGAGGGATACATTATCCGCAATAAACTTATTTTTCGATCATTGTTTCTACGTGTATTGTTAAAAGAATAATTAGGCGGTGTTAATTACATTTATAAATATAACTCATCATTTTAATAAATATAATATAAACAATTAATCATGTATACTGGCACCGCTCAAGCAAATTCTAATATGCCTTCCTCTCTCTCAAAATATAACTCCATACACACCAATGCTCCAAATTTACCTTGCCCTTGGCCAGCTTGCACCTTCGGCGCTGTAGCAATCGAAGAAATATGCAATCACTTTGTCTGTTCTCACTGCGATAATAATGTTCCTCGTCACGACTCATCAAACTTTGTTGATGATGAATATTTGGAGAATCAAGAAACCGTAAAAACGAATATTGACGTCGACGACCCTTCTCTGCTTTTTGGCATTTCAAACCACGAGATCGAACTTTTGAAAGAGGAATTAAACGAGAAAGTTTATAAAGTAAGACTAAATGAGGATGAGCAACAGAAACATCTTGAAATGAATGGGTCGAAAAATTTTGCGGAGACGGATATTGTAAAGGTGTTCCGTTCACTAGATATTCTTTCATTTTTCTTCATAAAAATATAGTATCCATCTAACGCACGCTCGATTTGTCGTTATCTGATTTTTTATTCAAAGAAAATAGAATATTTGCTAGCAGAGAATAATTACCTTCGTCGAACGGTCGTGAAATATAAAGAAGAAAATATAGTGCTCAAAGAGAAAACAAACTCTTTGGATTTACAATAATTACGCACTAACGCTAGTACATGATTTTTATTTGCACGCTCGTGTTAGTTGTAGGTTTCACAACATTCGAATTTTCGGACATGTGCAGTCACACTTTTTATCCTGCAAGTAAAAATGTCTGACATTAGTCACACAAATTTTTTGCATTTCGAAATAGAACTTCTCTTCGTGATTTTCCACCGTTAAAAGCTAAAGCATGGGTGTGATTTTATATTGCTGCTAATTGGTTGTGATCTTGTTTATTTATTCTCTAAAAATAGCTTTACGACTATAGGATACTCTAGCTTTTAGTTAGTAAATATCTCGTGAAATAAATTTTCACATAATGAGATCGTTCAGAAATATAAATAAGCAAGTATTCACAAAACTCAAGAAATATAAAGGCTCAAATCAAATATTTTAAATGAATTTTGACGCTGAATAAATTCTCACAGGCAATTAGAAAAAAAAATAAAAATAGCAAAAAACAAGCAATCTTATTTGTCCATTTTAATATCCATTGCAAATAAAAGTTTTAAACTAGCTTAGTTAAATCCAATACTTGAAGTAGGATATGTACAATAAAAAAATTACATTGTCATATAAGTATTGATCAGTTTTATAATATATACTTTAAATAATTTAAATATTAATTAAGTGAGCATTTAGAATTTTTCAAAGGACACTTTAATAATAATATCAGTATATATTATATTATATTTTATTATTTTTTATTTGATGAATTTTTTTATGCAAAATCTAATTAGCATTTTATATAACAATTATTTGAGATAACACTTATTTAAAAATTTAGTAGTAATATAGTATTTGATGCAACTATATACTTTATTAATAAATTTATTAAGATAATAATATTAAAAGTCTTTTAAAAATTACTTACTTAAGAATAAAAATATTAAAGAAAGTTAAAAATAGTTTAAACAGTACTTTGATATTAAATAATATTATTTTTATTAAAAAAAGTTTGAAAAAATTATTAATAAGAATATTATATATTATAAAAAATATTTAATTATATTTTATTATTTATTTTTTATATTAATTAATATTATTTTAAGATTAATTTAAATAATATTTATTAAATAATTCTATTTTAAAATTCAGCTATAAAATATTAAATTATATTAAATAAGTTAAAATTTATTAAAATTTTATAAAAATAGTTTATAATTATAATTATTAGAAAATAAATTTTATCATTAAATATATTGAAATCAAAAATTTTTCTTTAAATTAATTTATAATTTCATTAAGAAATAAGTTTATTTTTATATTAAATAAATTTTAAATATATATTTAATATATTTTTTTATTATAAAATTATAATAAAATTTATTAAAAAATTTTTATAATAATTTTATAATTAAAAAAAAATCTAAAAAATCTGAAAAAATATATATAAACCTATAATTAATAAATTTATTTTGAA